TTTCAATGTTTAGAATGTTTTGTTCTAGTATAAGCACAAAACATGAGAAGAATACTTAAGTGGTTGTATGCCTCCCCATTAAGAGAAATAGGTGAAAATACTTGACCATGGGGTTAAAAGACTCAGAAATAAAGAGATAATGTTAATAAAAGTACTGTGGAGAAATCACAAAACCGAGGAAGTAACATGGGAACCCGAGGAAGCCATGAGGAAGCGCTACCCAGAGTTATTCTAAATTTCAGGGACGAAACTTTTATTAGGTGGGAGGGATTGTAACGCCCGTACTTATTATTTACTTCTTACGTGCTAATCACTTTTATTATGATCATGCTTTAACCTATGTTTGAGTGCTATATGTGTGAAGTATAGTGATAACATGATTATGAACTTTGTGATAATGATATTTGAACTTACATGCTTGTATTATGTTTGAACGTGACAGGCGACGGTATCCGGTGAGCAACGTAACTACATTGTAATAATCATTTGTATTTTTGAATGTCATGGTATATCAAGTTATTTGTCATGTTAAATAGTATTTGATTGTTTAAAATATAGTTTAAAAAGGTCATTGGGGGTCTACGATGCGAACGGTAACAATCGGGGTCGGTTTAGGGAGAAAAATGACGTTTTCGGCACCCGATTGGCCTCAAACCAGCGCCGGTTGGACCCGGACCGGCGCCGGTCCAAAATAGGAAGTTGGAAGCGTGCAAAAATAAGCACAACCAGCGACGGTAAGGGTCAAACCGGCGCCGGTCCGGTCGGTTTCCTGAGGCGGTGCAAAGCCTATTTTTAGCCGAAAAATCCCCTTTCAATCCCATTTTCGACCTGAGCTCGACCCCCTCTCTACAAACTCATTTCCAAACCCTACCTAGACTGATTCAAGCTCAAATTAAACATATTCTTCATCAAGGATCATCACTTGGTAAGATTTTTACACTTTACATGAAGAATTCTTCTATATTTGATCCATAGTTCTTGTTTTGGGATTTAACTAGGGTTGAGTGAATTTTGGGTTGATTCTAGGAAAATAAATGGATTTTCTTGATAGTAATATTGTTTTGGAGTTGTTATTTAGCTTGGATTTAACAATCTTCAATTTGTTCTTGAATAACTAATTATTCCGAATTTTTACTAAGTTGATGAAAGAATTTGGGGAAAATTCTTACTATGTATAGGTTGATTCTAAATGGATACATAGAACTCTTGATAGTATGGTTTTTGTTTAATTATTGTTGATTCTTGGGTTTAAGATGCAATTGGGTTTTAGCTACCCGGAGCTATGTAGGTTGATTGAAGGAAGTTGAGAGTTTTCTCACTTCTAGGGGGCTGATTATGTAGAATCTCTCTTCATTCCTAAGTCTTAAGGTTTTGGCTAATTATGTTGATCAATTATAAATGATATATATAGTTTCTCATCGAAGAACCGTTGTCCGTGAAAGTTCTACAAGCACACACCGGGAAAATACTCCACGCGAATCAGGTAAGTCATCACCACCTATACATGATAGTTTGAAATGAAACATGGAAGTCTAGTTGTCTATGAATGGGATAGATTTGCTTGAACACTTGAATTTGTATGGCATAAGATTATGTGAATGCCCTGTTATGTATATATGCTTGTAGGTGATGTTGATTGAGAACTTGTTGAGTTATCAGTGTAAGGTATCCAAGTTCTATGTTTATGGTTAGGTTGGATTTATATGGAATCCAACAATGAATGAAAGTTGTGATGATAATGATATCTAATGAATGATAAGAAATGTTCTAAGGTAGCCGTTCCCCCAAGTAATTACCTGAGCTGAACGGAGCGGGATCTCCTTCCGCGGGGAGTCCCGGGATTACTTCTGATGGCTGTGGGCTAGCTACCCAAGGTCATTAGTGAGGGGCCAGGACACGAGCTACGGGCCCATCAAGTTAAGTAGCAAGATAGGAAGAAAGAATGATGAATGAGGAAATCTTTTAGATTTCGTTACATGATGTTGTGTTTTACATGATATGAATATGTGTGTGAATATGCTATGTGTATGGAGTATTCAAGCTCATGTATCTAATCATGGCTAGCTAAGATTCCTTAAATGTTTTTAGTGGATAAAATGGCGACTTACTAAGCATTATTTCTTACGAGACTTCTATTTTCCCGTATTCTCATGTATAGGTAATAAACGAGGTACACAAGCCTGAGAGAATGTATGGAGCCGGTGACAAGGTTTTGGATGGGTTAACGGAGAAGATCGGGCTATCAGTTATGTTGTGGTTTTAGTACGTTGGTACTTCAAAGGGTTGTTAAACGTTTTTAAAATCTTGATCAGGTGTAATGGTTTTACAATTGTTTTATTTTGGATGTGTTTCGTTATGTTTGTAAGTTTTGATTTGTTCTAAAAGAAATAAAGTCTCATATCGAGGCTTTGTATCTTTATTTCCGCTTGATTTATCGAGTCTCTTTTTATGTTGAATATGGTAATGGCCGTTTGGGGACGGTCGTTACACGATTGAACACCAAAGGGGAGATTGTTGGGAATATTTTATGGTGTCCAATCTAACTAAATATCTTTGTATTTGTGTAGTTATTAATTAAATGTGTAATTTGGGCCACAAATGTATTTCAGCCCATTAGCTCACTTGTAAGCCTTAAGTTAGACATCCTTATGTATAAAAGGATGCTAACTTAAGCAAACCCTAAGTCTTACAAGTCATTCACGCTCATATCTTTCTAGGAGCTTATACGGTATATAGAAGAGGGTTTCAATGATCAACATATCTCTATCATTCAGTGATTCTCTATTTTTATTATATTGTATGATTGTTGATTGATTTTGGGACTAACATTTATACTAACAGGAGCACCAAGCAACTTCACCCCTGCATCAGGATTACTAATATTATCTGAGAAGACCCCTTTATGTAACCTGCGAGGATCAGGAGAAGGCTAATAAACTTCAATCTTCTCAACATTCAACTTAAGACCCCTAGCATTACCTTCTTTTTGGATAATGTGAAAAACCTTAGAGATTTCAAGGGTATCACCAATTAAGGTACCCTCATCCAAGTACGAGGCTTGGAGATCAAACTGACAAGACTGTGATACCTTAAGCACTACTGGGTGTAGAGTGAGAGCAAATAGAAGAGGTCCAAGAGGGTCACCCTGATGCACACCTTGAGAGGAAGCAAGAATGCGTGTATTATAATATAGCCTGGCAGGAGAGGAATAACAAAAGCGTAGCTAATGATAGATGCTTGGGCACAGATTAAGGACTTCTTGAAGCATAGCAGATCTATCAACCATATTAAAAGCATTCTGGAAATCAACCAAAAGCATGGATTTGGTATTATCCTCACCATAATCATAAACAATACGGTTGACAGAATGTAGGATAGCTTCCCCACTAGGGATGGCAACGGGGCGGTTCGGGGTCGGGTATACCATTACCCGTACCCGCCCCGTTTGATAATATTTTTCCCCGAAACCGCCCCGTTACCCGTCGGGTATTATTTCCCCGCGGGTAACGGTTTTCCCCGTGGGTAACGGTTTCCCTGCGGATAACCGTTTTATTAAAAGGTAATTTTTTTTCTTCAAAATTAGTATAAATCCTAAAATGATGATTAACTACTTATAATTGATCACCTAAATTAAAAAAAAATCAAAATTAAATAGCATCACTTGTTTTATTAAAAGATAATTTTTTTTCTTCAAAATTAGTATGATGATTAACTACTTATAATTGACCACCTAGATTAAAAAAATCAAAATTAAGTAGCACCACAAATAAAGTTTTTTTAAAACATCACAAAAAATTACAATCTTTTGAACCTAATATTCACAAATTATATATGTCTAGATTCAAAATTATGAATCTCTTACCACATCAACATCAAGAGATTAAGTCTTGTCTCGATAGTAAAATCTAAATATGAATCACAAGAACATTTAACTTCCAAAAATGAGAAGTAAAAATGTATACTTATAATCATACCCCACCGACATTCAGTATATAAATTTAAGAGCAGTAATGTATACAAGTAACATAATAAAAATGAGAAGTTTTTTCCTGAAATATTACTCATAAAAAATATATGGACATAAATGTGAATATAAGTTATCATGGGTAATATTTATTATAGTCACTACGATATAACACTTGAATAAAATTATAAACACTAAAGTTACTAGAGTCACATTTTTGTCCATGACTTTTATTTTGATTATAGATTTGGAATTATTTCCAAAAAATATACTTCTAATACAATGATTTAGGTATTCTAATTTAGAGCAACCAATAAAAATTAATCTAATCATCCAATACACCTCTACAAAATTATTAGCAATTACATAAATTAAAGCAATCTAGAGTAATGTTTCCCAATATTTGGACTTTAAACTCATATGTGAGCTTTATGAAAGTTATTGGGTGAAAAAATAAGAGAGTCACAATGTGAAAATGGTGTATAGAAAATCATGAAAATCAAATAATCAATATGTGAAGAAAATAAATCTTGAAGAAGTTAACACATGAAGGATGATGAATGAAATTGAAAATTAAAAATCTAAAATAGTGAATTTTGAGCATCAACTCATCAGAATTGCAAAGGATAACCGATTAGTTGAATATTTTTCAAAAAAAATAGAGGAAATAAGTGGCATAAACTAATGTACTACTATTGATATATACTTAATATATTAAATAATAAATACATAAACTATTAAAATATGTAAGTTAATTCTACGGGTCGGGTAATGGTGCGGGTAACCGTATCCAAATTAAACGGGGCGGGTAATGGGGCGGGTAACGGGGCGGGTAGGTATAAACCCATAACCGCCCCATTACCCGTTTACATAAATCGGGTATTCCCCGCCCCGTACCCGTTACCCGGTCAAAGCGGTTTTCCCCATTTTGACCGGTTCAGTTCGGTGCGGGTATCCATCGGGTCGGGTATCCATCGGGTCGGGTATCCATCGGGTCGGATTAAATTGCCATCCCTATTCCCCACCACACTTAACACCAACACCAAATTGAAACTTTCCCAAATAAGAAGCCATTTCCTTGTTAATCATAGAAGCTGCAACTTTGGACACTAATCTCTTCCATATAGTGCCAACTGCAATAGGTTTAACACTCCCATCAGGTTTGAGCAATGGAGTCATAGGTGCACTAACAATATATTATCCAAGTTGTGAAGGACAGCTACCTAACAATAAAAGATTTACAATAGCAGTAACAGAATGAAGAACCTCATTAGCAATGGCAACAGCAGGTCCTGTAAGTGCATCAAGCATATGCTGAGCATGAAGCCCATCTCTACCACAACTAGTACCCTTGGGAAAACTACATAGTCTGCTGAAAACCATGTTAGAGTTTGTAATAAGAAGTTGCACACCATGGAGCTCAGAGGAAAAAACAGGGGGAGGAGCAAAGAGATGCTTGGACCGGAGAGTAGCTAGAGTAGTTTCATTTGATGGAGCAACCCCATTTGAAGTTAGAATCCTTATGGTAGCAGTATAAGCTCTTGAGGCTAACTTCTTTTTGCTGAGCTGAATATTGACATTAGCCTGGTCCTTCATAGTGTTAGCAGCTGGTGTAGATTGAGTCTTGTGATCATCTGGACCAGATCAAGACACCCATCACTTGTACCCAATTTATGTAGATCTTGATGAATAGCTCTAATCTGCAACTTCCTCCTATTGCCAGATCTTTGTTCAGCACAGGTTTTAGGGGAGTGGACCCTCAGAATACAAATAGGGAAAAGAAGCATTCTTGACCCAACAGGCAATGTCCATGGTGTTAAGTAAAACTCTATCCATAACATATTGAAAAGCTCTAGAAAAAGCAAGTCTACATTGTGGGGGGATATGCCTAGCAATATGAGTTTGAGTACAAAAAACAAGGTCAAGCAATTCCACATTAAGGTGTAAAGAGTTATCAGATCTAGAAACACCATGTTCTGAATTTGAGTTAAGGGAAGGCTTGTCCATACCATGGATAAGGAAATCCAAAACTCCCAGTTTAAGAGGTGCTTCAATAAGGTCATGTCTGTTGCAAAGCCAACACTTCATCTCTTGTAGAACTGATTCCCAAGCTGCCCAAACAACAGGATCATTGCTTTGTCTCTCCCTACAGATGTCATGGCCTGTCCCATGAGCAAAATGGAAATCCTCAAGATGCCTGCCAAACAAAGTAAACTTCAGTCCCCTACCATTAACACCATCAGTGCAATTATCAAAATCATGAAATGGACAATGAATAACTTCACCTCCAAATTTATTATCTCCAATTTGAGAATTAGCGAACGGATCAACCCTAGACACTGAACCATTCGCTGAAGCAACCTCTCCTTCATGAATCAGAGCCTTGCCGGATTTCCTCATAATTGGAAACAGACCTGGACTTGGTTGAATTAAATCCAGAAAACACAAGATGTGTATTGGGAAATAAACCAACCAAATCGAGGACCGATTCAAAAGAAAAAAAAACAAGACGAAAGGTGAAACGAGGCATGATTGATGAGGAAGGCGACACAAAAGAAAGGAATCCACCAAGAATCAAGAGAAACGGGAGGGGATTTCGATCTCCCCCCTCTGAAACTCAAGAAATCGCCGTGAATCATCGTAGCAGGAAGAGAGAGAAAGTTATTATTATTATTATTATTATTATTAGAATTATATGGAGTAATAATAATTAACATTATAAAAATAAATATTATAATTACACTTATAATTATAGAAATAATTATAATTACCAATATATGTAAAATTATAATTATAGCTATTATTATATTTAGTGTAATAGTTATAATAATAATTGTACTTATTATAAAATGTCAATTTTAATTATAATTATAATTTTTTTATAATAATTATTATAACTATATTTAAATTATATTTACAGTTAAAATTATAATTATAATAATAGTTGTATATTTAATTTTAGAAATATTGAAATCAGATCAGATCAGAAATATTCTGATCAGGTAAGAAGGATTCAGAACATATTAGAAGGATTCAGATCACATCGGAAAGATTCAAATCAGACCAGATCAAATCAGAAAGATTCAAATCAGATCAGAAAGACTCAGATCAGATTAGATCAGATCATTACAATTCAGATCAGATCAGATCAGAACTTAAAAAATTCAGATCAGATGAAGAGAACAACTTTTTATTTTGGAATAATCTAAAAAGAAAGTAAGACATGTAGAATGAGATTGATGAAATATTTATTTTTTGTCAATCATTTTTGAAAACGTATTATTAATATTCTGATAAATTGAGGGCACGTTTGGTAAACCTGTTTTTCGGCTTATCAATCATTTTTTCATCAAACACATAATTTTTGATTTCGTGCTCTGAATTGTGTAATAATAAGAATAAGTAAGGTTGGAGTTATTTTTCTGACTATATTGGCTGAAGTTACTATAGAATATCATTTTAGCTATTTTTCATAAATCAGCCGAATCAGCTAATCCAACCACTTCAATCAGAACTTCATAAATTTCAGCAGAATGAGCTGATTCATCCGATTTTAATAGTGCAAATTACCCGTATGCTTCACTTTTGTGTCACCCATATCATTCATGTCCCAATTATTTTCCCTTTTCATTTTTAACTTTTGTATTTTCAACTATTTTTATTTATTTCTTTCAAAAAAAACTATTTTTATTTATTTCAGTTTTAGACTATTATGGCATCCTCCGCTAGATGTAGATTAGAACAAGCGAGTGTTAAAAGGCAGATTCCCTGTTCTCCGGCTCCTGGCCTCTGTGAAGCATCGACATCTCTCTCCTCTCTTTTCTCGGGCCTCTGTGAAGCATCGATGCCGATTCAACCTGAGACACCAATTCACCGGTCGCTCGGTAACTTTGTCGGATCGCCAATGTCAAGCATTGACGCCAATTCAACCCGAGACACCAATTCGCCGATCGCTCGGTAACTTCTTCCGAGACACCAAACCTCCAGCACTCCTTAATTCGTATGTTATCTGTTGGGGCGAAGTTGCGAAAAACAAATATACGTCTGTAATCTACTATTGCAACTTTTGATTTAATGTTAATGATTAAATATATAACAACAACAGAACCTGTATATCGACCACAAGATTTGATACACAGCTAGTGGACTTTCTGTTGATCTAACATGTTCTACTTTTATTAGGTCTAAGTATGAGCTTCAAGAACTTTTAAAGCTTAGCTTGCGGATTTCATCGCAATCAAAGAAGCAATATCTTCAGGCAGATGGTTTTCAAAGTTCAAGTTCAATACAGAAATCTGTAAGTTCTTGCTTGTTTACATGGAGATGTGCAAATATCTTGTATTGCCAGAATGAGTTCTTTATGACAAGTTAACATTTAGGAGTATTTGTGGATCTGTTTTTCCAATGATGCAAAAAGAATTAATTTATTCGCTCTTACGTGGTCGATTCATGTTAGTTTGGGAATAAAATTTGGATGTTATTCTTGTTGCACTTACATAATCATACCTATGCAGCTAACATTGAACTTGCTAACAGGAAGGGCTGGTGGAATTCATTGGAATCTTGTGGATTAAAGTAACTAAAGGAACAAAGTTAGCTGTTAGAGACATGCTCTCTAGGGAAGCAGGTTCATTACTCTCTTTCGCAAGAAATCGAGGATAAAAAAATCAATGAAGAACAACATACACACATGTATACCTACATTTGCATACTCTAAATGCGGGAAGATTGTAGAATCAACGGTCAAATTAGATTTGTTATTAGCCAATATTATTATTCTCATATGTTTCTTTTATTCACAGAAAGCACAAACTACATTGATGAAGATCACTACATTGATGAAGATCAATTTAAATCCAATTTGGAATGAAGATCTTATGCTTTTAGTTCCTCAAGAATATGGACCATTAAAGCTGGTAATGGTCACTTTCATCTTCTATTTCTAACAGAGTTTTTGTTTTCTTTTATGTCTGTGCTATATCTTTCTGAATGTTCTATCAGTGACTTTTATCTCACATAATTTTCTTTCTGGATTCCCAAATGATACATTTATGAATTCACAAATTCACTTTGTGTTGCCAAGTAAAGTTATTTATATTTATGTATTCAGCTTTGTTGGTCAAAGGCCATGGTCACTATTTTCCCTTTTTAGCTCCACATATAACATATTAATCAAACGAGTTTGAACATATAGCTAAAATGAAGTGATTGAGTTGAGCAGTTTTGAAATTTCCCTTCCCTTCCCCCATCCACACTTTCTTTCCTTTTAGATCCCTCCTTCATTTTACTGCATATTTTCTTTTATCAAGTTCCAAACAAATCCTACAAATCAACCCCCCTACAAAAAATTCTTGATGGATAAATAAAGTGTCCTATCTTTTCTACATTTCCTCTCTTTTTTCTTTTATCGTTTATCTTTTTTATCTTTTTATATTCTTATTCTTATGTTATTTTTATCTTCTAGCTTTTTTATGCTCTTTTATTTTTTATCTTTTATCTTTCTTATATTCTTGTGTTATTGTTATCTTATATTTATTTAGCTTTATTTTACTCGCTTTTTCCTCTGTTTTTTCTTCCCGTTCTTGTCCATCTTATCTGTTTGACATCGATATCATAGATCGATTCATGTCAGCCGACCCCAAATTCTTTTGGGATTAAGCCTTGGATGTTGTTGTTGTATTAACAAAGTGTCCTACTTCATGATATTGCAATATAACTTTTATTTAGGATAGGATATGTTGGCATAATATTTGAAGAGCGTCTTCCATTCCCTTCAATGGGAGTGGGTGTAGAGCTTCTTATGCTAGCATTGGGTTAAGCACATGCATCGTGTGTAGATTGTGAGACTCTTTGGATATTTCTGGATACAAGTTCTTATATCATGATCTTTTAACACAATCGTTACCTTTTAAAATAGACACTAAACACACTTTTTAATCGCTAAAAGAACTTTTCTCATTTTCCGCCAAACACTACTTTTTTAAGTAAAAGTACTTATTGCTTCCTCTAAAAAGCGTGTAGTATATACGTAGTATTAAAAAGGTATCTCATATCTCAATATGTATTCATTTTATGCTCTTTGTATACTTCACAATTTCCTAGTTTCTGCAGTGTATATGTTTACTCATAATTGATTTTGTGCGTTTTGTTTTGCAAGGCTAGGCCGCTTTATAGAGATTGTTATTTGTTGATGTTAATGTTGTCAACACTTTGTGGGTAAACCAGCCTAGTGGTGGTCTTTGAAACAGGGGCATAAATTATATTTCTGGATGTCATCAACTTCATCTTCTACCATGATGAGAGAATCAATCGAGTGGAGTGAGACCACCATTACCCGTGTTGCTCCTGAATTGCAGTTTCCCAACTGCCAAGACTATGTCTGTTTTGTTTTTTTTGTTAGAACAAATTCTAAGCTTTAAACCAAGTGTGATAAAGTGCACTATTTAGTTATTATATTTATGAATCTTATTATTTATTATATAGGTTGGGGACTTGGGGTGTCTTATTCAATCAGTCATATACTTTATTTCTTCTTGTTGAATCATGTTTCATTTTGTTGTTTCTTGTAGCACCGTGTTGTTTATTCTTGAATTTCATTTTTCTTATTTATTTATATTTCTATTAATCTTAGCTATTTCCTTTGAATAAAATTCATATATAAATTTTGTAAAATAAACCAAAATGTGAAATCTGAATAAATGATTATCATCAACAACAAGAAACATGAAGAAACAATAAAAACACAAAAATTTCATAACTATCAACAAAAACAAAACTCATAGAAACAATAGGCAACAAAAAAACCAATGAAATGATAATAATTAAAAAAATAAGTGCTTTAAGACATGATACTTAAGAAAATACCTATTTTTTTTTTTTTAAATTTCAATATTTTTTCCAAGTTCATTATTTTTATTTTTCATGTTTTTATTCTCAGAATTTATTTTAACATTAAAATATTTTAGGTTAAATTAATTTTCTGATTTTTTTAGTAATTTTATGTAATAGGAGTATATTGTATTTTCCCACTATTTAATAAATTTAATTTTTTTGAATGTTTTCAAATTTTTATATTTATTTTTGCATTTATTTTTTATTATGTACAATTCCCAATTTTTCAAAACAATTACTTTTTGACAAGTTTCCGATCAATTTTCATACTTAGTATTATTTTATATATTGAAAACATTTTTATTTTTTTTACGTATTTTTTTTAATAATATTCAGGTTATTGATTTTTTCAACAATTTTATACTTTTTTGTAAAACTTCCGATTTTTATATTTTGTGTATGAATTATATTATCTATTTAAAGACATTACGTTGAAAAATCAATTTTTCTACCTTTTTACAATTTTCCTACCTTTCAACTATTTTAGACGTTTTATATGTTTATTTTCAAGTTTTTATTTTAAGTTTTCTATACGTTTTTATATATCTATTTTTTAATCTTAATTCATTTTTTTAACTTATTTATTCAACAAGTATTCATTTTTTATATTCGTCTATTTTTACTTTGAGTTCTTCATTTTTTAAAATCTAATTTTTTTTTCTGAATTCTACGAATATTATATTATACGTAGTAGTAGTAAATTGTATTTTACATTTTTCTTTTTTACTAATTCAAATCTATTTTAGATTTTTTAAACAAGTTTGCTCAATATTCAGTAATTTTAATTTTTTTGCTCCATTTTTATAATGATAACAATTATTATTATGATTTTGTTTTGAATTCATCAATTCCATGCAACTCCTACATTGAAAAGTGACAGGATATTGTGTAATTTCAAAGTTTAAAGTTTATTGTTAGGGTAAAGGCTTGGAGTCTATTATTGAAAGCAGAACTTTGATTGGTCTACTTTTGAAAGAAATTTTAAAAGATGAAAAAAGTGATATTATTTTTACTTTTTAGACAATTTGGGTAAAATTACCTTGTGTGCACGATTCCGTTTTGATATCTACGCGTTCTTCCACTTCTAAGCATGTATTTCAAAGCATTGCATAGCTAGATCTGTATCGACTTTAGCTTTCTCATAATATACAACAAAAGACAAATATAATTAATCATAAATAAGACACAATGTTTAAAATAAATTGTATTGAGATAGAAGTAATGTGTAATTCATCAACAACACACACACATTGTTAATCTATTGACAATATTTGCCTTTGTATATAAGTATATGCCACTTAATCTTTGTGTGTTTCACTACACAACACATACCCGTTGTCATGTATTATTGTTGTTCTCAGGTGAGAACTTAGAAGCCGAAAGCGAATTGAAGAGAAAGGGAAGAGGTAGATCGATCAAGTTTTGCAATATTCTTTTGGTATTTATAGCAGTACTTTGGTGGCTCAATATTTTTTTCACTTTTAATAGGAATTTATTAAAATATTGTGTATCCAACTACCCATGTCCATAACAGGCTGACTAGAACTTGACAGGTCGTCATCTACCTTATTGGAACTCACAACATTCACTGTTTAGGATCACTTAGTGAGATTTGTATTATATGTAGGATTTTTCAGTTTCTTTTCTGATGAATTGATTTTAAAATACATTTTTTAAATTAATCTTGAATAATTTATTGGTAAAAATAACAATAACAAAGCAACTAACACAGAATGAAGATGAAGTGCAAAGGTTGGATTATTTATGAATAACGATAAAGTGAGACCGACGAATGAAGATCGCTAAAAGGTTGAATTATTAATTTCCCTTTTTTATATATATAATTTGGCCCAATGTAAAAACAAAACTGGCCCAGGGTAGAAATTTATGGCCCAAATAAAAGAAACAGTCCGGCTCCAACAAAAAAACAGCCCAGCTCCAACAGTCCAGCTGCAGCGCCTAAGCAATCCAAGAGGCGCGGGCACCACTGGGTTTCGAAGTTTCACGCAAACGGCAAACCAAGAATCCGACAGCTTCTGCTTTTCCTCTCTTCAAGGTCGCTGCTTCAAGCAGAGCTGCAGAGGTAAGGGTTTCTTTTTTATTTGTTTTTACAATTTTTAGATTAATTAGGTATTTTATTTGTTAAATTAGTTTGTGTTAGTGATTAGTGTGTGAGTGTGTCACAATTGATTTGTGTAATTGTGTGCTTTGAATTGTGAAATAGAAAATTAGGAATGTCAAATGTTATTTGTGAAATTTTGAAAATATTAATATGAATTATATGAATTAAAATAAAGTATTGATTAGTATTTTATTTTATTTTTGATAATTTTAGTAGGTATGGCTACGTAATCTACTTCCAAAAAGGCAAAAATCACACTGCGTTCGTTTTATAAGCCTAGTACAAGCACACAAAGTAGACAAGAGTTAAATGTCTCGATTGAAACTCCTAATATCTTTATTGAAAAGGAATTTGCCAACAAAATCGACGTTTAGTCTGTCATAGATAAGTTTTCTAAGGTCAAAGAGCATCATGTTCAGTTAACGTTTTAGTTTCAAACATTGTATGTATTGTTTAAAAATATTACCATGAATTTTAATGGATTTTAATCGTTATGTTCACTTTGCTTTTAAAATTTTTATATAATGTTTTTAGTGTATATTCGGCCCACCTTATGCTCACCCAGCTTATGCCCACCTCTAGATCCACCACTTGCCTATAAAGTGATTGCTAAATAGGATTCTTCATCTATACCTTTGAATTCACATTGATAAAGTTTATTGTTTAAATGAGTAGCTTAATCAAGAACATTAGATTAAAGTCATTAGACTGGATTCCATGGGGTACAAGAACAAATATTTATAGATATAATTGATCAAATTCTACATCATTGCTTGTAAAATTGGGTTAATAAAATTGTACATGCATTGAACCCTTGAGAAGATATCCTAGACACAAACTGCCACACATGATTTGTATTTTCAGAACTTCTGTGGCATGTGCTCTGTTTTATGTTCAAACAACCATAATAATGGCTACAAACTTAATTGTGTTAAATTTAACTATGTTTGAATGTAAATAAGAAAATCCCCTTGACTTAATTGTTGTTATTTTCTGCTCTTCTGCCACCACAAAACTGCAAATTCAAAATAATACTACGTACAATTTTGCTTACCTCAAGTCCTTAAGTAAAGATGAATGACTGATTAATCATCACTTGCAATAGTACCAAGTACATTTGAGATTGTATTTTTGCTTTAAAAAAGATAAGTAAACGTCAATGATGAATGTTTTATTTTCGTACAGTTGGCTTAATGATAGTAAAGTAAGTAGCTGCCTACTCATCCTTACAAAGAGTGCTAAAAAGCCCAAGTAATTGAGAACAAGTACCTAAATCATAGTGCAGGATTTTTATCAACGTTTCTAAGGCTTGTAGGTCGGAATTTGCCTGAAATCAAACCTCCCACTGGAACTATTAAAGTACTGATGACAGATTAAAATGTGAGTCGAATTTTTCCTTTTAAACTTATTTGATTAACAATAGTTTACTTTGTCATTGATTATTTAAATTGCTGCATCACTATCATAAATCATAATTATAATGACATTAAGTTTCTTCTAGCATTATAAAAACAGAGTTATAAAATCAGAATTCTTTTCTGACCTTTTTTTTAATATGCAGGCATTCGTCTAATAGGCTCTAACGATTTCAAGCACTTGACATCAGCAACAGCAGGAATTCTGGGTGATATGAGAGTGAAGAAAGCCTCCTATTTATATTTTATATATATATGCTGTAGGAAGGTAGAGTACACATATTCATTGGCATTACATGCTTTGTGAATCATATATATCAGTAAAGGTTTGCTTTTATAGTTTTATTTCATCCTTTTACAATATCACTGTCTTTGTTGAAGACACTGATTCTTGTCGGGAAAATTAAAATCAACGAACAAGAGCATGCCTAGATGCTAGCGGAATGATTCACACCTTGCAACCAACTCGGGACCTCGAGTCTAATTGGTCAGTCGATATTGTAACAAGCCTAGAAGCTTATTTACTAGAGATTTGTTCTGGCGAAGTTTCTGGTCGAGATGGTGCCCTCCAAAATCCTGTGAACTTCTCTAAAGGTTCTCATTTTTTTTTTACCCCACACCATATTATCCAGAAATCTTTTAAGCTCTGTTATAGGTTTTGGTCATCATTTTCATTTACCCCAGTGCCGCAAAGGCTCCCACCTACGTTGGGGTATGGGGGGGTCGGATGTACGCAGTCTTACCCCTGTACTAAAGCACAGAGAGACTGTTTCCGGATGACCCATAGTGAAATCGCGTCCAAAATTGCATGGACTGACTGATGCTCCATAACAAAGGAGCACAGACAGCTTGGTGAGCCATTTTGCTTTATTCCATCATAATCTCAAGCCAAAAAATAATGAATCTTTGGCTCCGTTGCAAATGATGGAATTTGTTATAGGTTTTGGTACCTTTTTTTTATGTAGCTGCATTGCTGCTTCAAGATTCTGCACAGGTGTATAGTAGGAAGGTAGAGTACCTGTATTCATTGGTATTACGTGCTTTGGAGTCCATTTCTCAGAAGAGGTTTGCTTTTATTTCATCCTTTTACATAGTACAGTCTTTGTTGAACTGTTTCATTTTGGGAGTACAATTTTATTTAGAAAATTGGTATTCTTTGTATCTAATTGCGCTATAACTGTCTTACAATGAGCCCACCAGTTCAGTTTATATTTCATTATTCACTTGGAAAAAAGATTTCAATTTTTGCGACCAAGGTGGTTGTTAATCTATTCAATTTCTAGTGTGCCATCTTTGCTATCTTGTTTCTGTTGTATTTATGAAATGAAATATTGATTCTATATTGTGCAACTATGAAATGTCATTCTACTTCATATGACTCAATATAAGAACGATTATGTATTGATATTTGCACATTGGTGTTGCAATAAGTACTGTTGGACAATCAAGTTTGCCTGATAATATATCTACACAAGACTGTCTATTTGTAGGAGAAGGGACTTATATCTGGTCTGCTATATAGGAACTTTTGTGGCCTAAAGGAATAATAAAGGATTTAGATTATGTAATCAAAATGTTTTTCAGTTTTTTTTTAAATCCCTAACGATTATGTATTGATATTTGCACATTGGTGTTGCAATAAGTACTGTTGGACAATCAAGTTTGCCTGATAATATATCTACACAAGACGGTCTATTTGTAGGAGAAGGGACTTATATCTGGTCTGCTATATAGGAACTTTTGTGGCCTAAAGGAATAATAAAGGATTTTGATTATGTAATCAAAATGTTTTTCAGTTTTTTTTTAAATCCCTGACTACCATTACTAAAGTGCTGCTTGGACTTTGGAGATACAAGATGCAGAGATGGTAAAACCAATCATAACCTGACAGAGTCTTCTAAATGGTGTAGTTATATAATAAATTTACACACTTGTAGCTGTATGCTCACTTTCTGCACTAAAGAGCTTTGGAGAACTGCAGTCATGAAGTTTTCTTTAAGAAATCCTAATACTGACATTACTTCATAGTGTATTGTCTATCGACTTTTATTGTTTTAAGAATAACTGTGTGCATGATTAGTGAGAAACAGAACACGGTGAATGGATCAGCCGGAACAGAAGCAAGTGGTTCAAATGATGCTCCTGATGACCCTTTTTGGGGATTAGATGATATTCCAGGTAGTATATTTATGTGCATGATAACATTGTAGTTGATCAAAATAAATATCTTGCTGATGTTATCTTTCTCGTAGAGCAACCTAAGAACTTGCTAGACAATACAACCTCCAAAGATGCATTACTGAATCACGTTGTTAAGGCCCCTGCAAACCTAGTTGTGCTTGAGGGTGACTGCTTTGATGCAATTGGAGATGCTGGAGAACTCGAGTGCTATTTGGTATGCCGGTTTAAATTAGGTGCACATTGTCAAAAGTGGCACAATTTCCAAGTCTTTGATGTATGATCATTTCCTGCAGCTTGCCACCTGTGATGTGTACAGGGATTTTATTTTATTGGATACATGCGATGCAACAGCCATTGATAATTTTTTTACTAATGAAAACAAAACCGGGAAAGGATTGAACAGCAGCTGCAAAGGCCGCAAAAGTGTGCAACATTTTACAAGACAGTCTGGAGGAGTTGGCAAGCCTTCTTCAACACGAAAAAACCAAGAACCTGATTTAAACCTGTCTCCAAGAATTGATAATGATTTCAGAACAAATGACCATATGCCTGAAAATCATGAAGGCTTGTATGGGGTGGAAGATTTGTTTTCAGAGCCAAAGGATTTCAGTGACTCAGATGAAGATGATGATTTAAATCCATGGAAACCCTTAAATCCCCATGAGCCTGGAAATTTTAAAGATAAGCCATACAGGAGAGGTTGTCTTTTTTAGATTGTAAACATTTTCTTTCTTCTCACTTCCTGTTATTTATTTATTACTACATATTTATTTGTTTGTTTGTTTATTTTATCTCACTCAGTTAACTGCACTCTTTCAAGCAGTGAAAGCTAAAAGAAGTCAAGGTACAGGTTCCAAAAAACATATGCATGTGACCACTCAGTTTCCTCTTGCAAGACCGCATGGAAACATTAGTTTGCACCTTAATGATATATGGGAGAAGTGTTTTGCCACAAAGAAGATGGATGAATCTCAGTCTCCGCTACCGTATGAAAAGGTGTGTTTTACTTGCATTAATAAACCCTGCAATTTTGCCACAAAATGGGCTGGCTTACTAGATTTTGCTACTGTTTTCAGTTGCGACAATCTCTCTTTCATTGGGAAAACATTGATGGTGATGTCTTTCACAGTACTGAAAACAATGCGGATTATGACTTTGATAACACAAATTACTATTCTGGATCACCTGACTTCCACACGCCTGAAACTGCTGAACCGAATGAAGATGAAAATGTGAACACTGATAAGGTTATGCAGCATGGAAGTGATGGTGTTCCTTTTGACCACGAAGGTCATGAAGATCCTAACACTCATCGAACTCTGGAAGATCTTTGCCGTTCCCATTTGGTGAGGACAAAAGAGATTTAATTTGTGCTTAAACACACATGATAAATAAAAGTGCTATTACATTGGAGTAAACATGGAGTACTTTAATATTGTCATCTGCCTTTTCCATTAGAATGTTTTTTTATTAGAATTGTACCTATTGTAACAGAGCTCACTGTTTCCGTAAAGGACTGCCTTGGTTGAAATGCAATCAAGTACATTCAGTTCCAAAGGATGCTTGATGAGCATTTTGAATTAGTATCAATCTCTTACATAAACTTCTATAGCGTAGCACATTGTCACTTTGTTGTTTGTTATGTATAGGATTCTCTACTTGCAAACCTTGCTGAAACTGAACGCCAGACTGAAATGGCTGCTAGGGTTTCAACATGGAAGCAGAGGATTGAGCAGAACCTAAATGAACAAGTGTGTGCATTGTCTTCTTTTACTTCTTGTCCCCACTGGATTTTTGACTTGTAAATTTGTAATACATGTGACACTTTTATTTTATATCACAAACCAATGGTGATGTTTTCATGACAGGAATTACACACGCCTTTTGATATTCATGAGTATGGTGATAAGGTTTTAAGTAAGCTGTCTTCGAAAGAAAACAGTGCAAATGGTGTTTCATTTTCTGATATTGTTAGCGGAGAAGAAAAGCATAATGTTGCGCGGACATTCTCTGCACTTCTGCAACTAGTAAGCCCCCTTTTATTTCACGACCTGGAACTGGTTAAGGCATTAAAAACTCAGTTTGGCAAGAGTTGACTGAATATGCTGAAATTGCTTATTTAAAGTTGTGGTTTAATTGGAGGAGCTGCTTAGTTATCTTTTTAAAAAGCATTTCAAAATCCATATTTAAGTGAAATAAAAATATACTCCGTAATATCTAAAAATAATGCTAAATACAACTTTTTTTAATGTTAAGTTGCTGAAATTGTAATTCAACAAATCATTTGCCAGCCGGCTTACAATAGTATCGGGTGGGAAATCAAAATTAACTACACAACCTGACATATAAACAGCCTTCACATAATGACTTCCCTAACCCCCAAAGCTTCCGCTTCTAACCTGCCCGTTACTATCTCTGCGGCTCTGCCTATCCACCGCCAGGTCTATTTTCCTGTTTGAGCTTTATTTGCCGCTTCTACAGGCCAAATGCAACTTATGCATTACTTTTTCTATCATTGGTCATAAATTCATCCAGCACAGTGATAGTAGTTAGTGTTTAGCAAAAGTTGGGTAATATAAAGCCAAAACAAAGCAGGATCGGAATTTTGTTATGTGTGGAGACTATTTGCTTCAAACTTGGACTTTTAATGAATGATGGTTCTCATATTTTTTATTTAACGCATAGGTCAATAATGGGGATGTAGACTTGCAAAGAGGCGGAGCAGAAGGAGAGTCAAGTGTGTACACTGGTGCAAACCCATTTTACGTTCGACTCCTTCAGGGGGGAGTGAAAATGAGGGATAAAGTCAAACTTCACATATCACCAAAAAAGAAAACAAAATCTCCTGTATTGAAAGGGAATCCCAGAGGTGAGAAGAACAAGAGGGGTGGAACAGAGAACCGTCCTGGTAGTTCATCTCCTCCTCCTCGCGGTTCCAACAACTCAAACCGTAGGTTCACTTTGCAGGTGGGCAGAAAGACAAGCAGATGCCCTCCTGTTGGTAAGAAGAGAAGAAAGTCCCAATTGTTGGAGCAGCCAGTGGACTTGCATACCGGAATGTCATGTGAATGAACATTACCAGGAACCAGGTGTGCTACCAAGACCTCTTCACGTTGTCTATTTCACATCCTGGAGTTTGTTCTGTTATATATTTCAGGTGTATCAATATTTAGGTCACAATTTCCTCAGCTTGCCGATGTATATTGATTCCATCTCCTTAACTTGCTATTAGTTTAGTGATTGTACCTAATGAAAGAGGCAGTGTAGCCATTAGTCTATGCTAATTTAGTTTATTTCAGATTGATTCTTTTCAGGCTCATCTTGTATTGTAAACCTAACTTCTAATCTGGTTAGTTAATTCAAGTTTGCTGGCTTTTAGTTCCTGATTGCAACCGATCTTTGTCAACTTGCATTTTCCATTTTTCCACAGGACACTAACTTATCTAATTGCATTAATGAATCTCGTGATAAAAAGTGTAGACATAGCTTATTTTGATTTATTGATCGAATTTGCTGAATTTGTGTTTAAACACTATTAATTTATTTCCTTCATTTGTAAATTTAAGAGTACACTTATAAAACACATTAATGATAATATTTTCAAGAAAGAATGTTTTTCTTTCAAATATTGGGTGATAGTTAGAGAAATGGTTCTTAAAGTTGGAGATTTCTAAGCCTTGGCAGAGTCTTCTACCGTTCTACTCAAAGCGTAGAGTATGTACTAAATTGTGGGTTCACTAGCGGGACTAGACTTGAACTCGGTTCGGGCCACCTGACCCGTGACCCGCCCCGGCCCGCTACTGTGCGGGCCTGGGACCGGCCCGGTCTGGCGGTCCAGGACCGGGTGTAGACCCGAACCGGGGGGAATGGGCGGGGCGGGCTCGGTTCCGGAAATAGTTGACCTGGCCCGGCCGGGCCCGACTTGTCCGGGTCGGGCCCGTCCGGGTCGGGCTCGGGTCGGACTCGGGTCCGGGTCCAACGGTCACAATTTAAGAAAAAAAATGTTTTTGGACTTTTGGGCCAAACTAGCCGTTGGGGGTGGGCTGGGGACAACCCAAACAACTATATAGTCGTTGGGTGGGCTGCAGGGGGGTCCGAGGGGTTTGGGTGGTGGGGGGTGGGGGGTGGGGGTGGGGTAAAAAAACCTATAAATACTCCTAATCTAAAACATTTTTTCATATCTCTTCTTCAATTCTTCCTAAATCCTATTCTTAACTCTCTACTCTCTAATTCTCTTATTCTCCAATATATTATATTTATATAACTACTTTATATTAATTATCTACTTATAATTTATAAATACATACATTATATTACTTATATTTCTTATCTAATTATATATTTCTTATACATTTATTATATCTATTAATATAGTTGGAATTATATCTAATTAATTTGAAGTCATTCTATTACTCCCATCCGAAAGACCGAAAAATCCGAAAGAGGTACGAAATCATTCTACTATTTACACTTGTTTAATTTTGTATTAACATTACTTGAAAAAAACTAGTTAATTCTCATAATAGTTAAAGTTAAACTATAATAATTTGATTGTTAGTAAAAAAAAGGTAGTACAAAAAACTAGTTGATTAGTTAATTAGTTTTCATTATAGTTAAAGTTAAAGTGTATTAATTTCATTGTTAGTAAAAAAAAAGGTTGTACACAAAAATAGTTAATTCACTAGTTAATTTGATTAAAGTATAATTTAGAATACTAATTTGCTATAACTCGAATTAATAGTTAGATTAATAGTTAGTTACTTTATTACAATTTTTTGTTAATTGCTACCTTTGACTCTAGTTTAAAAAACTAGTTAATTCTCATTATAGTTAAAGTTAAAGTGTATTAATTTCATTGTTAGTAAAAAAAAATAGGTTGTACACAAAACTAGTCAATTCACTAATTAATTTGATTAAAGTAAACTTTAAAATACTAATTTGCTATAACTCGAATTATTAGTTAGATTAATAGTTAATTACTTTATTACAATTTTTTATTAATTGCTACCTCTGACTCTAGTTTAAAAAACTAGTTAATTCTGATTATAGTTAAAGGTAAAGTATATTAATTTTATTGTTAGTAAAAAAATAGGTTGTACACAAAACTAGTTAATTCACTAGTTAATTTGATTAAAGTAAACTTTAAAATACTAATTTGCTATAACTAGTTTTATTAATATATTTTTATTAATATATTTGTTGCAATTTAATATTTGTTACATTTTTTAGATGGATCATCCTAGATATTCGGTTGATATGGGTAACCTCGAGCGCAACCGAACGAAAGAGCTTGCGAGGAAGAGATCCTGCAAAGGTAAATCACATATCGGCTCTTCATCTCAAAGTCGAGATGATTTTGATACGGGTTACGCAAGGAGGGATGGAGATGCGATGACCGACGAACAACTAGAACAAGAATTGCACCGATATAATTCCCGCTTTTTTCAAGACCAACCGAGGAGCATTGACGAAGAAGAGCTCGAGGACGACGATGTGGAGGAAGTAATTCCGGAGAGCCACGAGGAGGAGGAGGAGGAGGGTGGCGGCAGCCACGACACCGATGAGCCTGCCTCATCCCAAACCGGTACGAAAAAAAGTAAATCTGAACTAATGGCTAATAATTTTTCTAAGTGGAAGGACGCGAACACCGGGAATTGGACCGCAACTTGCAATCGGTGCAAGAAAAACTATAGCTTGGGGATTTCCGGTGGATACGGATCCGCCACAAGACATCTTAAGTCCAAACACCCGGTGGAGTATGCAAAATTAGGCGGCGGAACGGGGAAGCAAACTCAAAAATAGGCATGAACCGGACCCGTCCAAACCTCGGGCCGGTTCCGGGTCCATGAGTTACAAACCGGCGACCCATCCGGGCCTAGGCCCGGCCCGAGTCCATGCCTAAGCGGGACAATATGGATTGAGTTTCAACTTTCAATGGATGTTTTGGACTTTGGTCATATTTTTGAAAGAACACTACTACCTTTATCCCATTTTATGTGTCTGGTTTTGTTTTGACACATTTATTAGTAAAGTGATTGAAAAGGTAAAAAGTATGGTTGATTTTTCAATATAATAAAGTGAAATGTTTTGAACCATATATTCTTTCCAAATATAAAAAGGTAAATTTCATGTTTGGTCATACGAGTATCACACCAATTCCACAATTGGTCAACGTATTTGACTTTGCCCACTGTTGGTAAATGACTATTGTGTTTTTGTCAATATATAGTCCTTCCAGCAATAATTTCGGTTGTTAAAATCACCAGAAAAGGACAACAAATGATCAAGAAACATTAATCAAGTATCAAAAGTGAACACAGTGAAAGTTGTGTACTAAATGTGAAAATAGCATAAAACTCGTAGGATCAAATGTAAAATTAATTCGTAAAAAAGGTGACACTTATTTTGGAATAACCCAAAATGGAAATTAAGACATGTAAAATGAGACTAAGGGAATATATTTTCCATCATTTGCAATGGAGTCAAAGATTCATTATTTTTTGGCTTGAGATTATGATGGAATAAAGCAAATGACTCACTAAACTGTCTGCTCTTCTTTGTTATGAAGCATCAGTCAGTCCATCCAATTTTGGACGCGATTTTCACTATGGGTCATCCGGAAATAGTCTCTCTGTGCTTTAGTGCAGGGGTAAGACTGCTTACATCCGACCCCCCCTTACCCCACCGTAGGTGGGAGCCTTTGCGGCACTGGGGTAAATGAAAATGAAAATGACTTCTTGGTATTAACTGTTGCGTATATTCTGAGTTTGAATGGTTGAAAGAAAGATACAGAGTAATGTTTGAGGTTGAGGAAGTCACTTGTTGGGTACCCAAAATTTATGAGCATTTAATGGATATGAGTGGAATCCAAATGGGGAATACACCCATTTCCAACTCTGTCAAGAACTCTCATGAATCGAAGAAAACACTGCACAAACACTACTTTAAGAGTTTAAGTCTTTCCTTAACCAGTTGACCTTCTGTTCTTTTCTCTCCACCCTTAAAATGTAATTAAGGTAAACCTATTCAGGGAGAGGCTGCAGAATGGTGGGTTTATCACATGGCGTTAATAATTGAATTAGTGTCATTTTTGATCATATACATTTTAGGTTATTTCAATTTTATTGCCTCTAGTTTTAATAATTATACTTTTGGTTGCAATGCTATAGAAAAAAGGCTATAGATAGAGTATGTCATATCTTGTTGCTTATGGACATTTTGACCACTTATTCTTTCAATTTTGATGTAAATTGTACTCCGTAATTGGATTTTGACAAAAACAAGAATGGTCTAGGGGGGGCTGGTTCCTCCTAAATAAGTACTCCATATTTAATATTCTCTCCGTCCCTCAAAACTCGATTAAATTTCTCCTTTTAAACTGTCACATATTTAAAGTAGGACGAAGGGAGAAATTTAGATGTTCAAAAGTTGGACCTAGGCGGAGTCCGGATCTGTTTCGGAACTGGACTAGAACGGTAGGTAATACAATTAGACGGTCACATGTTTGAGCGGTTCTAAAGTGGGACCTAGAACTATAAGTAAGGTTTCTTATATCTTCCCAAAAGGTTGAATCCTCAATCCAAAGGGTCCCCATGCCCCGATCCGACAAGGTATTTGGGAGGTTATAAATCACGATGACTCAGTCAGCACAATTATGATACATCTTATACCCGTGCGCACCAGAGGTTCAGCTCAGCACACAAGAGTTGTAATCTCCACGACTCCTTACAATCGCTGTTGGTTTCGATCCCTGGTCAATGTTCTGATTTCCCACCACTCGATCAACTGAGCTAACTGTATGGGTAATATGACTTCTTATATAATTGGACCGATTATTGTCTGATTATAATCTCAATAGTAAAAACACTTGTACAAAATTAAAAGTCCATTTCATAACATCGAAATTGATTGGATCGACTGAAATTGATGAAATTTTGGTTGAAATGATTAAATTGCCTTTACGCCTGAATATGTTGAATCATGATTTTTTTTTATTTTAAAAATTATCATTAATAAAAAGAATAAACTATACTTCGTGTGAAACACAGATAAAACGATAAACTGCAATAATTTCAATTAATTTAGTCAGAAAAATAACTTCAACCTTACCTATTAATTAAACATTTGATAAAAAAAATTGATCATGGCCCTAGAACTCCTATTCTCAAAAAGTTAGTGGACATATTTTACTAATCTCCACTTCTCCAATTCTCACCTTCCACCTTTACTGGATGGAGACATGGAGTCGATGGTAGTGCACATAGATGATTTGTTTGACTGGCCGCCGCTACCTTTGGTTTAGAGAAATAAAACGACTAAAATGAAAGAAATAATGATACACACAAAATTATTGCCAATACATACATACATACAAAATCTAAATAAAGTTGAGA